AATTGGGATTTTTGTTACATTATACTAGTTTCAGTTCTTTCCTTAATTTCTTTATTGAAAAAACATTTAATGAGAGTTTGCTGCCTTTGTGCCAGGCACTCTGCTCGATGCTGTCCAGAGGACTTCACAACCGTGAAATGTCGTAAAGTTCTTTAAAGTGGAATATCACATGCTTCGTTTACATATTATAGTTTGCTGAAAATCTGCTATAATCCAGTGTGGAAATAGATGAAACTGTTAGAACTGAGTCTTTTAACCTACCTCACCTTTACTTCTGCTCTGTGATGATAAAGGATTTTTACGCTAGTATGCTGTTTTTGATTAAACTACTCTTTGAGCTACATAACTCCAAAGAAATATATCACTTGTTTTAACAGAGAGCATGAGTATCTACGATGATATTGATGCTGACGTGCTGAAGAATTACCAAGAATACAGTCTGGCCAACATCATCTACTATTCGCTAAAGGAATCCACCACGAGTGAGCAGAGTGCCCGGATGACGGCCATGGACAACGCTAGCAAGAATGCTTGTAAGCACACAGTGGTCTCTTGGCAGAGTTCTGTTGCTGAGAGTAGCGTGAAGACCCTCGCATCAGAAACATTAGCATTCTCTCGGTAGACCAGGAAGCAGGAGAGCTGGGGCCTCGTCCTGGGCTCTGCTGATTCTATGACATTTTTGACCAATTACTGTCTCTTTCCTTGAATTTTCTTATCTGATGAGATAGAAAAATAATATTCTCTGCCTTAAAGGCAGGATATTTTTCTTGGTAGGCAGTAAGTTTGCGAGTACTTTGAAAAGGCATCTCATGGAAGATATAAAAATATCTTTGTAAGATTTTCTGAGAGACCGATTTTGATACCCAAAAAGAAACAGAATGTCTTATTTTTAAATTAAGCAACATACGTCTAGGAGTAAGTTACTGAACAAATTATTCTTTTCTAGTTTTAGATTTTGTTGTGTAATCATTTTGTTTTGTTTGTAGCTGAGATGATTGACAAACTGACTCTGACATTCAATCGCACCCGCCAAGCTGTCATCACGAAGGAGTTGATTGAAATCATCTCTGGTGCTGCAGCTCTGTGAGTAATTGTAGATCTCCTTCAGAGTTGTTTCTGATCTGTGTCTGCTAGCTTAAGCTTTGGACATTAAAAGTTTTCAGTTTTGTTTTGTCTGTTAAAGATGAAATGATCCTTTGCTTAATGGATATAAGCATTTGGTGAAAGATAGAAGGGTTTGGCGAAAGTGAGACCTCTGGTTCATTCTGATTGTTCCAGCTGAAACGTTCAGGCTTAGTTTCCTTTTAGAAATCAGTGTGTTGCTAGCTTTCACTTTCCTAAAGCATTAGGAATAGGATGTGGATAATTCAGTATCATTTATGAAATCTGTCTTTGGAACTCAAAGCATTATAAACCAAACCAAGCTTTGTGACTTAGAAGACTGGGTTTGGGTTTACATAAATCTGTAAATCACTGCATGGTGGTAGGGTCCAGGAATTTTTTAATTATTGTTTCTATATCAGTACTGTGAGATAGTATACCACTTTCCTCAGGAAAATTTCTTGTTTGTCTAGATACGTTAATGTTTCTGAAACCAGGGTGAAGATAATAGGAATTCTATTTAAAAAATTATTAAATTGAACACCCACTCTGCAGAATACACTGCTAGGCACAGTGCTCAAGGATGCAATCCTTTCTTTCAAGGCATTTACATTCTAATAGGATAAGATAAATATGCAGATGATTGTGATGAAAGATAAAATATGTAGTAAGTTATCTTTGACTCATTCTTTCTTATCTTCTACTATAATTGGTCACCAAGTTCTATAAATTTTACCTTCTAAATATCCCTTGACTCTTTCCCCTGGATGCCCACTTAATGCAGATCCTTCTTAGTCTCTCCTGATAAAGAACATGCTTTCTGAGTGCCCCTAAAGTGTCAGGCCCTGTGCTAGACACTGACGACGTCTTGGGGACGGTATTTGCCATCGAACAGCTCACGGCCTTCATGGGGAAGACATAGTGTATTAGATGTATTAGAAATTGCAGTCGAAGGTGGGTCAGCACACTGGCCTGGAGCTAAGAATGGGTTGACACTTTTAAAGGATCATTGAAAGAAAGACAGTATGTGAAAGCCTAAAATATTTACTATCTGGCCTTTTGCCAATCCTTATGACAGTGCTAAGGGAAAAAAAGAGAATCCATTCTGTATTACATAATCCTGAAGAAACAGCTTAGCTTGATATATGTAAGTCCATATTTTCTGGCCACCAATACACTAGTCTAGCCTCCTACCATTACCATTGCTCACCTCCTTGAACTTCAGCCACATTGCTCTTTTCACCTTCCCCCAGGGGCACATGTGTTTGCCTGAAATGCCATGCATTTCTAACCCTGGCACCCTTGATTCTTCACCTGACTGAATCCTTCTTATCCTCCTAGCTGAGCTGGGGGATCTTCTCTCCCAGGAAGCCCTCCTTCGTGATTTGAGTGGGTTACCCTTCTTTAGCATCCTTTGCTTCCCCTTATTATAGCACTTACACTGTTTTATTAGGAATTTTATTTGCGTGTGTACTCCCGCAGCTTGGGAGGGACCATGTCTTAGTCACTTTGTAGCCCCATCACGAGCACATACTTCTTCCATAAATATTTGTTCAGTGAATGAATGATGTGTCATTAGTATATAAGAAGTAGAAGTTCCAGAGAGGGAGAAATAACATTGTATTGGGTATGTGAAAACGTGGTCCATGTTTAAGAATTAGGGAAAGGCTCTTCACTAAGGTGACATTTAAATTGGTCCTTAAGTATTGTCTGTCAAGGATAGAAACTGGGCAGAATGCCAGAGAGAGACAAATAAAACTGATCGAGACCCTTCTGTAGTTGTTACTTGCATCCCTCAGCATCCTTCCTTCTCTTATTTTGCTTTCTGCACGTGACTTTGTTAACCTAACCCATCTCCACGCCTGGTCGCTCCTGCCCTGTTGGCATCACAGGGCACAGTGCTGTGATGAGTGGCCCTGCCGGTGACCAGCTTGGTCACTTGGTCAGATATTCTCTCTGCCACTCAGTTTGTCATCTATGACATGGGACTGACACCAGGATTAAGTACATAGATTATTCCCTATCCTCCTTGCTCCGTGTACTCCTGCCAGTGCTCAGCTGATTCCTCTCGGACGGGAAGTGTGAGGAGGCCTGGGGGAAGGAGCTGCATCTGAAGGTGCCGGGGCTGTGAGACCCAGAGACCCAAGGCTCCTTTTTTTGCTCTTGAAAAAGGAATACTGGAAATAAATTGAGGATACAACTTCTGCGGAATTGAGGACCAGGCTCTTTCTTGGTTAGGAATGTGGGAAACCTGACTGAAAAGTAGTCAGATCGAGGGAAATGAGAAGAGGGAGATTGGGACTTACAAACTGAGAATTTAAAGAGAATTCAAATAGTTGGAAACGGACTATTTAGTTTTCGCTTTCTGGAAAGGTAGTCTAAATCCTTTATAAAGAATTAGCTGTGCCGTCCCAAGGCTGGACTGTGTAGGTGAATGGACTTGCATGCTCTGTAACCTGTCCGTTATTTTGGTTAAAAAACCTTCATCTTTAATACGAACACTATGGCTGTTTAGTAATAAGAGGCATGGATAAACCATAATATTTGAGGTGCCAAGTATTAGTTGCTAAAATTTTAAAATATATTGTATGCTATTGATAGAAAAAGTGGTGTTTTAAATTATGCTTTCATAAGTCTTGCTTACTTGCATGAACATGATTTTACTGCTTCTAACCAGATTGAAATCTGTAACTTTTACAACAGTCATTGAATCTGTTTTAAAGGAATATTTTGGTACGCATTTATGTGATATACTCAAGGTAACGGGTGAGGAAAGGGACTTTTTTAGTTGGAAATTATACATGACTAACTAGCATGGATTGCTTCTTGACCGGCTTGTTTTGTGTTTGTCTTTTTCTTCTAATACAATAACCAGGGAGTAATGAAAATCAAGTTGCATCCTCAGACGAGAGGTAAAGTGGTAACACTTCACACACCCGCCCCACACCCCTTCAGAAAAGAAACCCAGCCAGCTATGATTGAAGCTAGTCCAGCACCAGTGAACCTGGTTCTCTGAGAGATTCAGATTGCCAGGCCCGTTTTTAGCAGCAGCCAACTATGGGAGCATAGGGGTAACGCTGGGGGGCTTTTTTTCCCCTTAGATTTAGTAAATAAACTTAGAGAATTGGCATTATTTTGAAATATTAAATATAGCCTAGTGAAGAGGGGTGGTTCTCAGACTTAGGGTCTCCGGACCCCTTGATGTCTGACCTAAGGAAAGAGAGCCAGATGCTCACCTGTTTCTGTATTCCTTCTGTTCTGATAGAGCACGTCATGTAGACTCTGGAAAACTGCACCGTATACTCTTGAGAATGAAAATAAAAACAGGCAGCTATCATTCTTATGAAAATACTTTTGCCCTCACAGACCCCATGAAAGAGTCCCCAGACCAAAACTCGAGAACCACTAGTGTAGAGTAACATTTTATTATGTAAAGTCGGTTCCTTAAACCCCACGGAAATATTTATTATCTCCTGACATCCTTTCCCAAAAAAATAGTGTTTGATTTTTATTTGTTCTGTATTTTTCAGGTAAAGAAGGAAAATTCAGCCGGCTGATTTTGTTTTTAAGTTACTGCTGTCCTGTCAGAAGAAATTGTTGGTCCATTGTTTAAATTACTAAAGACAGCAAGATATTTGTAAATTATCTTACAATAAACAACTTACCATAAAAAAAAAATCAGTCTCTTCTTATTATATAAGAACAACAGATGGGGCTGGCCCCGTGGCCGAGTGGTTAAGTTCGCGCGCTCCGCTGCAGGCGGCCCAGTGTTTCGTTGGTTCGAATCCTGGGCGCAGACGTGGCACTGCTCATCAAACCACGCTGAGGCAGCGTCCCACATGCCACAACTAGAAGGACCCACAACGAAGAATATACAACTATGTACCGGGGGGCTTTGGGGAGAAAAAGGAAAAAATAAAATAAAAATCTGAAAAAAAAAAACAACAGTTAAGTTTTCAAAATGAGATGTTAAAACATTTAAAAATATTAACTTGCTCCTATTAAAGTTTTTTGGTAAGAAGATAATGGAAGGGGCTCTTCTGATTTTATAGATCCTTACAAACTTAAAAAGCCTGTCCTCTTTGGGGTCGGGGTGGAAGGAAGAGGCAACAGGTCACAACCTCGGCCCAGGCTCCCATCCTTTTGCACCTTCAAAGAACAGCCAGCACAATGGAGGAAACATGCTATTGGAGTCCCTGTCTGTTTCTCATAGACAGGATGGAGAAGTCCAGACATACACTTACTCTAAATAAATTTGTGAATACCTTTCCAAGCCCTGGGCACCCTTTCAGCACAATACTCGCTCCATACCCACATGTGGATAACCATCAAGATGGGGTGCCAGGGCTGTTACATGCAACCAAGTTGGCCAGGCCAAAATGTCAGTTTTTTTCGTATTTATTTGAAATAGGGAACTCAGTTTTTTTTGTTACAAAAGTAATAATATAAATTCCAAAAGGACTACAGGCTACAGAAGTATAAAAATATAAAACATGTAAAGCTCATCCTCACTTAACACTTCGATGTATCTTACTCTTGACTTTTAAAAACCATTAAATAAATACATGTATTTAGAATTCTTCAAAGATTTTATTATTTTACCAACAGCTATATTGATAGAAATGAAGAGTGAGTAATATAAAAATTGATGAGCAAGCACAGACCTGTAAAGAGCAGTACTGCTACTGTAAGAAGGCTGCCAGGAGAAGATAAACTGAACAGAATCTCAGGGTCGTTTTCTAGCTTCCCTGAAATCTTACAGGAGCCGCTTGTGGGTGGTCAGTGAATGAGGCTGTGAGAAACAGCTGGCCAGCAGCTAGGCCTCGGCAGAGTGCTGTGTGAACCAAGGACCAGGTACCTTTCAGGAATGTTGGCAAGGGACAGGGTGCTCTGTGGGTTTGTTTTGCTTCTAAACTTACCTTGGCCCACCTCCAGTTTCCAAGATGGCAGAACACTTCTGTGAGGGTGAACTGTGTGTTCCAGACAGCATAGTAGGAGGAAAAGCAGGAATTTAAGCACCGTCAGCCTGAGTAAAATAATCTGTCAGGCTGACCATGGCATACTGTCCCAGGTTCGGAAGAGGGGACAAGAGGCGTGGGGGCCACCCAGCCCTCCATCTGTCTCGGGAGTGTGGGTGTTCCAGCCCCCACTGGTTGTGCTCTGTCGGGTGCACGGCTGTGCTGGGTTTTCTCTTCGCCTTCCTCAGGCTTCCCTTTGCCTTTCATTTCCTGTGTCACACGTTTCCCCCTGTTATTTCAGTGGTATACTTCCTGCAGGTACATGGGAGGTAAACTTTGCATATCTTAAAATGTCTGTTCTATGACATTTAAGTGATGGTTTGCTTGGGTATAGATTCTAGGTTAGACATTGGTTTTGCTTCTGAGTTTTGAAGGCACTTGTTTCATTCTCTTCTGGCCTCCATGTGACTTAAAATGCCTTGGAGCCATTTGATTTCTGAACCTTTGTGACGATCTCTGAAAGCTTGTGGGTCTCCACCTGCGTTGCTCTGAAATGTCACAGAGATGATCGTGAATGGGCATCCTTGGGCAAGTCTTTGCAGACTTGTATGAATACTTCTGTAGACTGAATTATTAGAAGTGGAATTGATGACAAACTATGTACATTTAAAAATTCAACAGACACTGCCAAATTGCTCTCCAAAAGACTGTAAACTTGGCTAACTATGAGACAGATTCCCCCTACTATCTAAAACTGTCTTGAATCTTTAACAATACAACAGTCGACCATTCATTGCCCATTTTTTATTGAGATTTTATCTTTTTCTCGTTGCAGACAAGTTCTTTGCATATTTGTGACATCAACTCTTTTATCATTCATGCTGCAACTTAAAACTAGGGAAATTTGTGTAACTGCTGTTGGATAACGATGCACTATCAACTTTTTTATTTTTTAAATACCATCTGATTAGCCATATATAAAGACAATACCCAACGTGGGGAAATGGCAGTTTTAGAAGTTTTGCATTTCTCTTCCTCTGCTTTCTCACATCCCCAGCATAGGGTCTGGAGAAATAAAACTAAGCAATGATTTGATTTGCTTTACCAACCACACACAGGGAAGATAGTTTTCTGTGCCTAGAGCAGTGGTTAAGAGCACAGACTTGGGAGTGAACTGTCCGGGTGGGAATCCCACCTCAGCTCTTCCCAGCTGTGTGACCTTGGGCTAGTTACTTAATCTTTTCAGTCTTATCTATAACATGGAGATTAAAATAGTATTTACTCAGAGGGTTATGAGGATTAAATGAGTTAACATTTGCAAAATACTTAGAATCTGACACAGGGTGAGTGCCGTGTCTGTGATTAAATGTTGCCTGATCCATATAAAAGTGATCATCAGTTCAACAGCATTTATTGATGCTCTCCTATGTGTGAGCACTCTCGAAATCTGAAGCTGCAATGATAATCATTAAAACACTTCCCCCTAGGAGCTTACCAGTCTGGAGCGAAAACAAGCAAATAATGACAAAACGGGATAAGGGTCATAACTGGTGAGCACAGAGGAGAGACAGTTTGCGGAGAGGCAGGGGGACTGAGAAGGCTGTCCAGCCTGGAGGAAGTGATATCTAAGCTGAGTCCTGAAGGACCAGTGACCAACAGTAGAAATTACACTACTGGGGCGAGATTATGAGCACACCACATTCTGCAGTTTAGATACGCAGAAAGGAGTCTTGAAAAGTAAGCTTGACGTTTTTCCCCAAGTTACATCCCCTCCTTTTGCTAAATGGCATAACAGCATTAGTACAATGAATGATAAATGTTTGCGTTAGTAAGTTTCATTACATAACCTAAACCGCTATCCTAGTTTATGAGAACACCTGGATAGTGCGTAAAGTGCATTTTAACATGCCAGGATTGAGTTTCCATTGTTACAACTCCTGTTTTCTAACAGTTTGCTCTTCGTGAACCTTTGTTTCTCTTACTGCTTTAGTATGAATATTTGCAACTTTCAGAAACTTTATTATTATTGGAAACTCTCTAAGCTTGAAAATTGTGCAGTTACTGAGCTCCTGCCAACACCGACTGAATAAAAAGTGACGCCATTGCTGCAGTTGGGGCGCCCGGTTCTCAGCTAGACACCCCCTCTTTGCACTGAGGGCTTCACCCCAGCGCCCAGCACTTCCACGTTGCTCTCCGTTCCTTTCTTCATCCACCAGGATGCAATGGCAGGCGTCAGGGCTTATAGGGTGAGCCAGAGCTCTGCTCTCAAGAAGAAAGCTCAGTCCACAGATCTTGTGTCCTACTGGCATGTCTACAGACCGGCTGACCCTCACTGCTGTTAGGGAATCAGCTGCTCTGTCTCCATGGCTGCAGCACCGGCCTCAGGTTCTCGCTTCCTTGCCGCCACAGTATCTCACCTCTAATCTATTCCCTTTTTAAAAATAACATCTTATTGAGATACAACTCACATGCTGTAAAATTCACCCTTTTAAAGTGTACAATTCAGCGGTTTTAGTACACTCATGGAGTTGTGCTGTAGTCCATTGTATACACTAATGCAAGACGAATTGTCCTAAAAGGCATTTATTTATGGAGCACTGACTACCTGCGGGGTACGATATATATTGGAGATTTATCAGGGAATAAGAGGAACTCAGTTCCTGCCCTTCCACAGTGTACAGCGAAAAAGAGAGGGTGAGGATTTTAGTCTTGGACATCCATTAAACATTAATTAAACGTGAGTGATATAGAGGATGTCCAAACAGACCTTAGTTGTTCATTAGATGCAGTTGGTTACACTAGTCTGAAACTCGGTGAAAATCTGGGGTGAAGTGTTAGACTAGGGAGTCATCTTTATATAACGAATCATGAAAAACAGCGGAGTGAATCATATGAAAAGAGAACAAACACTTGAAAACCAGGCAAAGGCATTACAGGATAAAGCAAATATTTGATATAATTGAAACCAGGGTTCTCACTTTGGGAAAAGGGAGATACAACGATAAAATGGGAGGAGGTAAGGAATATACAGTTGTAGATCTGAATCAGAGGCCTCAGGATGGACTTGAGACTTTTAAAATATTCCTATTTTCTAATTCTGTTCACTAAATGGCCCCTGAAGCAATGATACCCCTGTAATAATGAAGGTCAGCTGGCACTCATATCTTGGCTTCTAAATACTATTCCTCGCTAAGAAGACATGGAGCCCCTCAGAGAGATGGCAAATTCCCAGTCTAGGGCAGGGCACGCACAAAGTGAGCCTGGAAAATCCTGTGCCACAACGTCAGAAAACACTCAGTGGATGATGGTGGCATGTCAGAACACACCAGCTGGCTTGAAAGGGCTCCCACTGGCCAAATATGGGACAATTTAAACATCAAAAGAATAATGAGAGTGAGGGATTATAACTCATCAAATAAAAAAGAATCCCTGACCACATACTAATGTCATACTAGAAGAAGTGAGGGCTCCTGTCACAATGGCTGTAATTGACAAGACAGGAAACAAGTGTTGGAGAGGATGTGGAGAGAAGGGAGCCCTCATACACTGCTGGTAGGAGTGCAAACTAGTGCAGCCACTATGGAAAACAGTATGGAGATTCCTCAAAAAATTAAGAATAGATCTACCATATGATCCAGCTATTCCACTGCTTGGTATTTATCCAAAGAAGATGAAAACACGAATGTGTAAAGATACATGCACCCCTATGTTCATCGCAGCATTATTCACAATAGCCGAGGCTTGGAAGCAACCTAGGTGCCCATCAAAGGATGAATGAATAAAGAAGATGTGGTATATATACACAATGGAATACTACTCAGCCATAAGAAATGATGAAATCCAGCCATTTGTGACAACATGGATGGACCTTGAGGGTATTATGCTAAGCGAAATAAGTCAGAGGGAGAAATTCAAATACCATTATGATCTCACTCATAAATAGAAGATAAAAACAACAACAAACAATCACATAGAAACAGAGATTGGATTGTTGGTTACCAGAAGGGAACGGGGAGGGAGGAAAGTGAAAGGGGTGATTAGGTACATGTGTGTAATGATAGACTGTAATTGGTCTCTGGGTGGTGAACACGATATAGTCCACACAGAAATCGAAATATACGGATGTACACCTGAAATTTATATAATGTTATAAACCAATGTTACCACAATAAAAAAATTTTACAAAAGCGAGGGAACTTTATAGAATGTCTAATAAATGTAGAAAAAAATGATAGAATTAGAAAAATCGCCACTTTGTAACCAGCAGTGTAATAACGGATTCAATAAGAGATCAGAAATGGATGCTCCCAAAACCACTGGGGTGACGGGTTGTAGAGAAGCAGGTTGTTTACAGTCTCAAAGTATCACCTTACAGTTTACTTATTAATTTCAAAGTAAAACAAAAAAGGAGACCTTACAATGGAGAGATCAGGCAGATACCACCTCTACAAGTGACCAAACTTTGTCACCAATCGTGGGACAAACTAACTCCTGATGTTATACAGCAGGGAGGGCAGACCACCTGTGTTAGGAGTATTCTTGCCAAAGTTGTTCAACGTGAAACAGACAAAGATTATGAGACATCCCATGAGATAACTGTCCTATACTGCAAAAATATAAATGTCACAAAAGACCAAAAACCAAACCAAAAAGGCCACACCATCAATCAGGGGGGATTGATCTTATTAGAAGAGATTAGAAAGACAGGACAACTAAATGCAATGAGTGGTTCTTGATTAGATCCTGGATTAAAAAAATTAAAAAGCTATGAGGCATCTGGGGACAATGGGAAAAATCTGAATATGCACTTTTTATTGGATAATATTATTGTATCAGTCTTGAGTTTGCTGCATGAGATAATGGTACTGTGGTGTAGCGGGAGCTGTGATGTGCCTCCTGGATGACCCTTCAGCAGGACTGAAGGACACATTCCCCCAGCTGCTGGGAATGCTGTCAGCCACGGCCCCCTCAGCTGTCAACCTTCTTTGGAACTGCCTCCACTGAAGACTGCCTTGCCCAAGATCATGGCCCCCTCCTGGAAGCCCACATCCAGCCTGATCAGTATGGGAGTATAAAGGCCAGGCCCCCTTGCCTGCATTTACCACGACTCGGAAGGGCCACCCCAGCTGGACAGCTCTCTGGGGTGCCGAGGTCTTCCTTGAGGGTCGGCAGCGCCAAACATCTCCCTCCCCTAGCGCCACGTCTGATACCAAGCAGTGGGCTCGTTCTGCTCACCATGATCTGAGCCAATTAATCATGACAAGTCAGGGATGGAGGAAGGAAGTTTTCATTCAATTAGCCCGCATAATTGGAAAGATGGCAGGCTAATGTCTCAAAAAAACCATCTTCAAAAATTACGGAATCTTGAGGCAGTTTTATAGGGAAAATGGACAGTAAGGAGGGGATTCCCTTAAGGCATGATGGACTCCAGGGTCTTTTATTGTTCCCTCCTTCTGTCAGCTGTGATGGATACCTTATAGGTGTGTTTCCTGCCTGTGGTCAGCCTGTTCCTGGAGAGAAAGTTATAGAAGAAAGTTTTAATGTATCTAGCTATGATGGAGTACATACGTAAGCAGAGGCCATAAATCAGGAAAGCACGTGAATTTTTTAGAGTACGTGCAGAGCAGCGAGTAGTCACACCGAGGAGGGGCTGGGGCCATTCAGCGTAACAAGATGGCCTCGCTTATGCTCACTTACACTTCCTTTTCATCCCTTCCCTTCCCCAGCTGGTGATCCCAAGGGCACCCCTCTGCAGGTTACTCTCCATCTCAGACACTGCTCCCTGCAGAGCCCAACTTGGGACAGTTCATACTGGAAGGGCTCGAGGGAGAAGATATCAAGAAACTGGAAGGGATTTGGGAGCTGGATCAGCCACCTGGTTGGCCATGTGGTAGGTGGAGCACAAAAAGCCCCCAGCACAAGGTAGTAAGTAGTTCCTGACAGTGAAGGTTGTAAAACGTTGACCAGTGGTGAACTGGGGTGGAATAGCAGTGGAAACAAGCTGGCACAATGAATCAGTGTTCAGATGGGCAAGAAATATGGGGATGATGGGACCCTAAAATAATAGAGGCCAGGTGGTAGTGCTTAACTGCTTGCGAGTCAGAAGCCAGGTGAACGCAATCATGATAAGACAAGTCAGAGGGGAGCAGGCTCACCTGGTGAGTTTTGGAGACAGTTCACAGAACAAGGGATCCCCGGGGTGAAACAGATGGGCAGCCAACAAGTGGGCTACTCAATCTGTACAATCAAAATAATCCAAGGATGGGTGATTAGGAGGCTGAGGGCAGTCGCTCCAATATCCAGCCATGATCCCTTGTCCAATGTCTGGGTCTGGGCCAGTTTTCAGACTGAAACTCTTGAGTCTTCAAGAGGAAGAACTCTGCAACACCAAATGGAGAGGATAATGATTCCCCCACTCCTTCTGCAGAACCAACAGCCACTTACTTAGGTGACCATCCACTGGAGAAAGGGAATACTCATTCTGAAGACCCCTGAACACAGGGGCTGAGTTGAGAATGAAACCAGGAGATGCAGAGTCATCATGGGCCCCCAGTTAAAGTGAGGGCATTTGAGGCCAAGTAATAAATGGAGCCTTGGCCCAATTCACGCTGGGTCCTCCAGGTTTATGGACCCACTCAGGGGTCAATTCCTTGATTCCAAATGTGTAATTAGAACACACATATGGGGAAGCTGGCACAATCCCCACCTGGCTCCCTGGCCTGTAGGGTTAGAACTATGGTAGTAGGAAGGCTGAGCACAAGCTTTGGAGATTGGCCCTCCAGCTCTGGGAGGGGGAAGGCAGAAACCAGTCACACTGTTAAAGACCTACAGAATGAGGGGCAGTGGTCCCCATTCTCTCTTCATATCATCTGACAGTTTGGCCCCTGCAAACATGAACTATTTTTGATGTAACTTGATTTATCTTCAGAGTGTACTACTATAAACTCAACCAAGTAAGAACCCCAATCGCAGATGGTGTATCAGATGTGGCATCTTTGCTAGAACAGATAAACATGGTCTCAGGCACATGACACACGGCCACTGATTGTTGAAAGCAGTCTTTTCTAACCCAGTCAGGAGAGAAGATCAGAAATAGTTGATATTCGCTTGGAAGAGACAACAGTATACATCTTGGTCTGGCCCTAGAGCTATGTTAATTCTCACACGCTCTGTCATCATAGCCTCTGAAGAGATTTGGACTGGCTGGACCACTCACAAAACTACACTGGCCCACTATATTGATGTGATCATGCTAATCAGACTGGAGAAGTAAGAAGTGGCTAGTACACAAAAGGTCACGGCAAGATACATGCATTCTGGAGGGTGGGAGATAAACGCTACAAAGATTCAGGGGCCCGCCATATCAGTTAAGACTTTTAGGGTCCAGTAGTCTGGGGCATGCTGGCACATCTCTTGCAAATGGTAAGTTATTGCATCTTGTACCTTCCACGATGAAGAAGGAAGCATAATGCCTGGTAGGCGTCTTTGGGTTTCAGAAGCAGAATATTCCACACCTGGGAATTCTGCTCTTAACATATACTGATGGCTTGAAAGGTGCCAATTTTGAGTTGGGGCCCAGAGTAGAAAAGGGTTCTGGAGCAGATTCAGGCAGTGGTGCGAGCTTCCCTCCTGCTTGGGCCGTATGACCTGGTAGTCCTATGTTATTAGAGGTATCCATCATGGGAAAATACTCCACGTAGAGGTGATAGCAACTCTAATGCGTAAGTAGCATCGCAGATCCCTAGGTTCCAGAGTAAAGCCATGACACGCAGTGGAGAATTACACCTTTTGAAAACCAGCTCCTGCCATGCTAGTGGGCCCCAGTAGAGACGGACTGTCTGACCATGGGACACTACTGAACTATGAAGCCAGGACTGCCCATTGTGAGCTGGCTTCTGTTAGACCTAGGTGAAAAGTCAAGCCTAGCAACAATCCATCTGAAGACAAAAGTGGTACGTCAGGACCCATCATGAGCAGGGCTGGGAGGGCACATGCAAGCTCATGAGAAGGGAGGCCAGGCCCCAGCGGCCACCATTAATGTTGCACCACCAGTCTCCCTCACTTCAGACCAGTGGCTGCATGGGGGTTCCTATGACCAGCAGACTGGGGAGGACACAAAGCCAAGCTCAGTTCATGGGTGAATTGGCTCAGCATGAAGACCCAAGTCAAAAATGGACTGCGACTGTTGCCATAGCTTCACTCCGTGTGGCCCAGGAAGAGAGCAGGGAGGGGAAACCCTCCTGACGGGCAGAGCATCAGGCAGTGTCAAACCCACTTGCCTGCCACAGAGACCAACACGGTGACTCCTTGTTATGCAATGAACTGTGTCCCCCAAATTCATAGGTGAAACCCCAACCCCCAGTATCTCAGAATGTGACTGTATTTGGAGAGAGGGCCTTTAAAGAGGTAATTAAATTAAAATAAGCCTGTTAGGGTGGGCCCTAATCCAATCTGATTGGTGCCTCTTTTTTTTTTTTTTTTTTTGGTGAGGAAGATTGGCCCTAAGCTAACATCTGTTGCCAATCTTCCTCTTTTTCCTTGAGGAAGATTGTCGCTGAGCTAACTTCTGTGCCAATGTCCTCTATTTTGTATGTGGGTCATTGCCACAGCACGGCTTGATGAGTGATGTGTAAGTCCATGCCCAGGATCTGAACCCACGAACCCTGGGCTGCGGAAGTGGAGTGTGTAAACTTAACCACTACACCACTGGGCTGGCCCCTGATTGGTGTCTTTATAAGAAGAGATTAGGACACAGAGAGAGAGTGCACAAAGATGATGCGAAGAGGGAACAAGAGGGCAGCTGTCTGCAAGCCAAGGAAAGAGGCCTCAGAGGAATCAATTCTGCCTACACCTCAGTCTGGGACTTCCGGTCTCCAGAACTGCAAGAAAATAACTGTCTGTTGTTTAAGCACCCCGGTGTGTGGTATTTTGTTATGGCGGCTGGACTTACTTCCTGCTCATGGCGTTTGATGTACCGGTGGGCCATATCACGTCGCGTCAGACCAAGGAATCTATTTTACAACAAAGGAGGTTGGGAGTGGGCACATGATTGTGACATCTTCTTGTCATACTACATAACCACACCACTCGGAAGCGGTCAGCCTGGCACAGCAATGGAATGGCCTTGGAACGCAGCTCAAACACCAGCTCGCAAGCAGTATCTTATGAGGACGGGGTGCAGTCCCACAGGAGGCTGCATACACTTAAAGTCAATGACTTGTCTATGGTGCTGGGTTCCTGAAAGGTAAATAACTTGGGGTGGAAGCTGGAGTTTCCTCACTTACCATCACTCCCAGTGACCCATCTGGGAAATTGTTCTTGTCCCTGCAACTCTCAGTTCTCTAGGTTGATACTTCTGACTTCCAAAACGGGGAATGCTTTCTTTCTTTCTTTTTTGCTGAGGAAGATTCACCCTGAGCTAACATCTGTTGCCGATCTTCCTCTATGTTGTATGTCAGCCACCACCACAGCATTGCCACTGATAGACAAGCAGTGGAGGTCCACGCCCAGGAACAGAACCCAGGCCACCAAAGTGGAGCATGCCAAACTTAACCACTAGGCCACCGGGTCGGGCCCAGGAATGCTTTTGCCAGGGGACACAGCAGGAGTCCCACTGAAATATTAGCTATAGTTGCCACCTGGCACTTTGGGCACAAAATGGTCTATTTAAGAAACCAAGTAGGGGCCGGCCCAGTGGTGCAGTGGTTAAGTTTGCACGTTCTGCTTCTCCGCGGCCCAGAGTTTGCCAGTTCTGATCCCAGGTGCGGACACGGCACTGCTTGGCAAAAGTCATACTGTGGTAGGTGTCCCATGTATAAAGTAGAGGAAGATGGGCATGGATGTTAGCTCAGGGCCAGTCTTCCTCAGCAAAAAGAGGAGGATTGGCAGTAGTTAGCTCAGGGCTAATCTTCCTCAAAAAAAAAAAAACAACAGAAAAAAAGAAACCAAGCAGATCAGCTATTACACCCTTACTATCCACAGGCTGATTCTGGCTTAACCATGGGAGTAGTTTGGCTTGCAAATTAAAACTTTAAAAATGTATTCCCAATATTTAAAAATTTAGGTATTTATCACAAAATCCTCATTTCTGGCAAATTGGAAAGATCTGGCAACACTTGGCTGGGGCTGAAAGAAAGCTCTGGAGTAGGCAACAGCTCCTGGTACACTCATGGACTAAAGGTACTTGTTTGGCTTCTGTAGGCAACTGAGTTCTCTCTTCCTTTGACAGATCAGTGTTGATGACTGGCAAAACCGGTAAACCTCGGCCTACTGGCACACCTATTTTTGCAAATAAAGTTTTATTGGAACCAGGGCTGGGATTAAAGTGAGGTGAGGTAGGATTTTTTTTAGCAGTGGTCTGGATTTTTGTTTTTTAAAAATATTGCATTAGAACACTGATCTTGATTGAGTTTTCTGGTGTCCCTATAAATTTCGCAGAGGCCAGTGCATTCCTTGCCTGACCCTAGTCCCCGCGCTCTGAAGGACATACTGAACAACTTAGACTTGATATAATCTATACAGTGGTAAGCAGCTCAATTTTTTTGCTTGTTTGTTTTAAGCAGAAGCAAGACCGGGTCAGATCTGCGTTTGGGGGAACACAAGTTCCCACGCCCCAAATCGTGCCCCTGAACTCGCAGCCTCTCCCAGGTTCCCACTTCCAACAGCCCATCTCAGCATCATGTTCTGGCTCCCTCTTTCGCCCCTCAACCACCGACAGGTCCGTCTCCCACCCTCTGCACGTGCGCGCCCCCCGGGAAGGCCCCAGGCACCTGCCTCCCGGGGCGCATCCGCCACCTGCGCTCTGCACAGCCGCTTCCCGCCTCCGTCCAGACCCGAGAGTCGATACCGACACCATCGCTCTGCTCCAGCGGGGCGGAGCTTCCTCATCGGCGCGCTCCGTCTTTGGCTAGTGCTGCCTCGCCCCGGCGACCGTCCAGCGGGAGGCGGAGCGAGTCCAAAATGGCGGCTCTCAGGCTGGCGCGCTCCGTGCTGCTGAGGTTTTGAGGTGGTCGCCAGGGGTCGGGGGGGACGATTTCCCCGCCACGGGGGCCCCAGAGGATGAATCGGGGGCTCTGCTAAGGTTAGGCGGTGGGGGTGGAGAGCAGTGGCAGCAGGGGCTGCGGTGGAGTCCACGGAGCGGGATGTGCGAGAGTTACTCCAGGTCGTTGTTGAGGGTCTCGGTGGCGCAGATCTGCCAGGCGCTGGGCTGGGACTCGGTGCAACTCAGCGCCTGCCACCTCCTCACGGACGTGCTGCAGCGCTACCTGCAGCAGTTGGGACGGGGCTGCCATCGGTACTCTGAGCTCTGTGAGTACCGGGCTGGGTGCGGGAGGGCTGCCTCTGCCAGTCACGAGTGACACCTCGGGGCTCCCCTGCGCGCTCGCAGCGTCCCCGAGCTGTGGGTCCTTCACCCCCAACCCGAGATCGGGTGTCTTCTCGGCCCCTGACGCCCCTCCACTTCCACTGCCCCTGGAAACTCGAGTCATCCCCCGGGTGCCTCTTCCTCATCCGCTAACTTCCCGCCGCCAGCCGGGAGCCCTGTGTGCGCTCCCGGCTCGTCGCCCTCCCACCCCTTCTCCGATCTGAGATGTGCCTCGGTCTTCCTCCTCGCCTCGCTTTTGCTGCGTGTACAACCACCTCCACAATGCCTTGCAGCCTCTTCTACTTTGGTCCTATTCCTCCCTTGCCCGCAAACTACTACAACTAGTTGTCACAGGCGCTCCGTCTACCGGCCGTTTCTTACAAGGCTGGCTATTCTTCAGCTCATAACCACACGGACTCGTTGACAGCTCTGCTCCGTTAGGGACGGGGCTATATCTGTTCACCTCGTAGACAGCATCTCTGCTCACTCTGTCCGAAGGCCAACTTTGTCAGTTTCACTTAGATTAACTTTCACTTACATCTCAGTCATCCATTGATTTCTTTCTGTATGTTTTCATGTCGGTGGTTATGAAGTGTGGTAGAGGGATCATAGGCAATTTATGAGGTCTCCCAGGTAATCTGAGCTACAATACTTAATAGTTTTTAAGTGACCGGTAGTATCTAAGCTGGTGGCATTTAATAATTTGCAATATTTCATAGGAGCCACACATCATCTAACTGATGTGAAGTGTGTGTGTGCGTGGAGGGGAGCCACCCCTCATTTAAATTTCAGGTCATTATTTTTAAGGTGTTACGGTGAAGAACTGGGTGAAGCGTTTCGTAGGATATTTTGTTTTGTTAAAGTGGTTCCTAGACTGGAAAATTGAGACCCCTGGATGCACTTTACTTCTTAAGCCCTAAATTCCATCCCAGCTTCCCCAAATAATCTGTCCATAACACAGAGCCGATCGTGTCGTTCTTAAAAATATTTCAGTTGATTACAGGCTGAAAAATCTAAACTCTTAGGCAGCACTCGCTTCCCTTTCTGAACTAGTATTTTCTGATCTTCTGCCATCCTAATCTACAACCATGCTCAGCTACCTGCCTTTTCCAGAACATTTTAAGCTGTCCATTTCTATATGCATGCTGTTTCCTAGAGTGTCCTTGCCCCCCTGTTCCACCTAGTACCGCTTATATTTTGAGATTCACTTATCACTTGCTTTAGGAAACTCATATTATCTACTCTCTTATTCTGTGTGTATTTCTGTTGTGTTATTTAACACTTTTGTTTTGTAATCATCTGTGTGTGTCTCTCACCCTCTCTCCCTTCTCCTCCCCAGGAGACAAATTTATTTGTATTCTGTAACCTAGTATGACGCCATGATATAATAGGCACCCAGGAAATAGTTGTTGAATAAATGAATCAACTGATAACCCACTACCATAATAGCTATTTAATCACTTCACCTTTTGAGTTTTAAAAATGTGTAGTTTTTGAATGCTTGATTTCACCGATACTTCCAATCTAAATTTGGAACTGTCAGGTAACCCTCATTCATTGTTATCTTGAGAGTACCCCACCAGCACGCTACTCTCTTGGCTTTTGCTTCCTTTCCCTCCCCATGTGTGGTCCCTGAGTATACTGTTATGGTTATGCACGATCCAGATTGTATTTTTGCTACCATGTTCCTTCAGTGAGGACAGATGTTCTGTACCTTTAGGTAATCAAAATATCCCTTGAATACATAGTCACCTTTCCTGTCGTATACACAGAACAAGACTGTGTGCTAGAGCTCCAAGTCACCACGTATTCCAAAGTCATCAAGTGATCATTGTTATGTGTTAATGTGAACCTCTTTCCTAATTACCCAATTCCTGTGGTCGATTTTCTTGCTTTTAGTGAGAATGCGATTATCAGGTTCATTATTCCCCATTGTGGTCTGGTGAGTTTTTTAAAATGCTAATTCCTGGTATACTTATTAGTTACAGGCTTTTTTTAGATTCTTTTTGGTGTACTATCCTACTTTTAGACTTGAATTCTGTAACCTCAGGTTACCATTATGCAATCTTGTATTCTTTTAAATCCTTTTTGTCTTTTTGACAGACATTTGTTGCATACCACTTATGAACTAAGCACTGTGCTAGGTGTCAGAGACATGAAATTACTTAGGCACAATTTCTGCCCCTAGGGTGTGTACAGGGGTGTCAAAATGTCAACAAAAACACACTGATGGTATTTGTTCCCTCTAAAAAAAAATACTCTCAAGTTAAAGCAAGTATTGGAAGTTACTATGAATTCAACAAGTAATACATTTTTAAATTTCCCTAAGGTAATGATTTGTCACAGCATTCGGGGCAGATGTCTCTGTGTGTGTTGTATTAGGTGTGTGTGCATGTGCTGAAAGCGGGTGCTACACCGTTCAGAATGACTCTTCGAGACTAGTACTCTAACGTAAGAATTGCGTGGTCTAGGCAGTAAATGCAAAAGGAATAGGGTAAAGGAGAGATGGATGTGGGCTCTGGGTTCCAGAGCAAGATCTCTTCCCAGGAAAGATGAAATTTGAGTGGAGCTATGAGGAATGGTTGTTTAAAGGGGGAGAACATGCTGGATTAGAGATAGCCAAGTGGGATGAAGCATGATCAGAGTGGCAGTGAGGTGGCCAGCGTGACAGATGTAGCCAGTTCCTGCGGAGCATGTTAGAGGAGACTTAAACAGAGGGAAATCAGGTTCGGGAGGGACTCGGCAGACTGAGAAGTTAAATCGTGTGGTAGAAAATGCTGCAGACCCCGAGGAGGGGAACGGTGTGCGGAAAGTGATAGGTCAAGAAAATTGTGCTGTCCATGAAGTGCAAGAGAGGATCCAGGGGGAGAACTGGAAACTATACTGAGATAGTGATAGTAGGAATAAGGAGAAAGGAAAACTTGCAATCTGAGGCCAAAAAAGGGAGCGGAGAGTACCAGAAGGTCTTGGGTTGACATTGCAAAGCATGTGGAGGAATTCATGATGGTTATATATTTTAGACTGAGAGAATAATAATTCTTTTAACAGGAACAGAAGAGTTGCAATACATATTATTGTCATTAAGAAAAAGAATGAATATTAATTTTACTTATTCTTTCTTTTTTATACATCATAGAAGTAACCCATACTTGTAGAAAAATTCAAATATTCCAGAAATGTTTGAAGTTAGAAGTGAAACTCAGGTTCAACTCTGCCCTTCTCTGCACTACAGCTTTCATCCCCTTGAACTGTTAACAGTTGGATGTATATCCTTCCAGAACTTTTCTTTGTGGATGTGAGCAAGCACGTGTCTAATTTTTACAAACTTTGGTTTATTCTTTTTCATTTCGCAGCATGATTTAATTTTAGACATTGAATTTGAAGTGATCATAAGAGATGTCAGTAAAAAATACTGTAGGCTATTGGAAATTGGGAACTGGAATTCTCATAGAAGTTTTAAAAGATGTAGAGATCTTAAGTTCTGTAAAACTTCCTTTTCTAAAGAGAATCTTGCTGTATGTAACTTTTAATCTTTTTATCTTTATCCATTTTGTATGTAGCCTTCTAATTACATTTAAAATTTATATGTAAATTACCTTTATGATCTAAATCCTTTCTGTAAATATTGTTGAATTTAAAAAATTGATTCAGTGGTATAAGTCATTCAACAAATGCCAGCTATATGCCAGCCACTGTTTTAGGTTCCAGAGAATCATTATTGTACAATAGAGAAAATGTAATGGACATTTACTTAGCACAACATTCTAGTTATTTGACAAAAAATAATAATGTAATATTTATGGGGCATTTACTTTGTGTCAGCCACTGTCCCAGATGCTGTTGACTATCTGTAAACTCCTTTGATATTTATTCTGTACCAGCTGATTGTGAGTATGAATTGTCTGTGGCGATCTGATTGGTTATCAGATCCTATTTAAAATTGACTTTAGGAATCAGCTTTCTAATATTTAAACAATATGGTATTCTATTTAAAAATCTACTAAATTCTTTCCAATAACTAGGTCTTACATGTATATAGTATATTTGATTCTGAGCTGTGTATTTACTTGATACTTTTTTCTTAATATTTTAAAAAATCTTCATGGGATTTTCTTAAAATAATTTTCTTTGCTTTTGACTTTGTTTCAGATGGCCGGACAGACCCAATTTTGGATGATGTTAGTGAAGCTTTCCAACTTATGGGGGTTAGTCTTCATGAACTAGAAGACTATATTCACAATATTGAACCTGTCACTTTCCCACATCAAATTCCTTCATTTCCTGTTAGCAAGAACAATGTACTTCAGTTTCCTCAGCCTGGAAGTAAAGATGCAGAGGAAAGAAAAGAATACATTCCTGATTACATGCCACCCATTGTGTCTTCTCAAGAAGGTTTGTAATTTTTTTGTCTGTTTCTTGCTCATATATTTGTAACTATTTTGATGGGTTTTTAATCTTCTTAGTTTTCCCAACTGAATTATATAAAACGCTATGCCAACATATAAATTCTAGAAGTGCAATCAAAATATTTTCATATTATTTACAAATCATTCTAATCTTTAAGACAACAAACTTGTGGCTGGCTTCACCAGGCGGAGCCATGGCATAATCAAGGTTATGTCTGATGAGGCATTTATTTCCTTTATCAGTTTTAAGTAGGGGAGAACAGAAAGTGACCACAGAGAGAAGCCTTTCAGTAGACGTAGTGTATGAGGATGGGTGTGAAGTAAATTAGAAAACCTTCGAAACAGAACAATGACAGTAGCTCTTTCCCACCCACCCGCCCCCCTTATTATAAAGGTGAGTTGGATAATGCTAGAAACAGTGAGTGAGTGAACAATTCACTAATATTATGCAGATTTATCTCCATTTTTTTATGATGAGTAGAAATGTTTATTGTTTGGTCATACAGAATTTTTGTTTATAAAATAATAGCTAATCAGGCACAATAGTCATTGCAGAGTTCCTTTTCACCTGAATAATTTTACATGTCAATTGTTTAGGTTCACTACGGTTCTAAAGAGATACATGAGTAATTTGTGGTCTCTAATGCAGTTACAAAATATTTTTTCTTGTAAAAAATGGGAAAGTTGTAATTCAGTTTTTTCTTTTTTAAATTCTAGAACTGTAAATGTACTTCAGGACAATGCAAATGATGGCAGAAATAACTTTTATTTATAATTTTTTTATTGATGTACAATTCAGTGGCATTAAGTACATTCACATTGTTGTACTACCATCACCACCATCCATCTCCAGAACTTTTTCATCTTCGCCAACTCTGAAACCATTAAACAATAACTCCCCATACCCGCCCTCCAGCCAGCCCTGGGCAATCACCATTCTATTTTCTGTCTCTGAATTTGACTACTCTACGTACCTCATGTAAGTGGAATCTTACTTACCTTGTGTCTGGCTTACTTTACTTAGCATGGTGTCTTCAAGGTTCATCCATGTAGCATGTTTCAGAGTTTCCTTCCTTCTTAAGACTGAATACTATCCTGTTGTATGTATATACCACATTTCGTTATCCATTCATCCATTGGTGGATATTTGGGTTGTTTCCACCTTTTGGCTCTTCTGAATAATGCTGCTATGAACATTGGTGTACAAATATTTGTTTGAGTCCCTGCTTTCAATTTCTGGGGGTATATACTCAGAATTGGAATTTTTGGGTCATAAGGTAATTCTATGTTTAAGTTTTTTGAGGAACAGCCATATTGTTTTCCACAGTGGCTGTACCATTTTGCCTTCCCACCAACAATGCCCCAGGGTTCCAATTTCTTGTAATTCATATGTTACAATCTTCTATTCCACTTTCATAGCTTTTTGGAGTGTTACCTGTTTGTTTCATGTTATCTTTAGACTTGGAATAAGTTGTTTTACAATCTGTGTGTCACTGTTGCCTTATCTGAAAAACTGGGCAAAAACCGGCCCTACGTTGTAGAGCTTGGTTGTGGATTGGTGCGTCATCATCAGGCGCTCTGATCTTGGCGTGGTAGCCTCTACTGGACAGTGCTGGAGCTCTTATGAAGTGTGCTGGAAGTGAAGCACTGTACCCATGCCTGTTTGTAGCTGTGATAGATATGGAAAGAACTTGCTGCACCCTTTTGGAAAGCCTCATAGTCTGCTGGTTTGAGTCCCTTTGGGAAATAGACTCTGCTTGGCAGCTTAGTACTTCTCTGCTTCTAGTTCTTAGAGATTCAGTTCTGACTGAAGGCAGGAATAAGCATCGCCAGTGCTTCACACAAGGCATGCCTGGGGTGAATGTTCTTGAACTGAGTTAAATTAAACACTATCTGTAGGGTCTTGCCTGTGGAAGTTCTTTGTTTCTCCTCCTTTCCAGGCCTACTGAGATAATATAACAGCAGGGCTTGGAAATCTATAGATGCATCTCAATCATCCCCAGCTTCCCTTAGTAACTGCTTAAAATTCTGTCTCCTGCCCATCTTTGAATTTATTTGTATGTGTAGCTTTTATTACCTTTGAGGAAATCTTACTCTTTATGACCCCCATGTAAAGTCAGTCTCTTTAAATCCCTCATTCCTTAGTGTCAGTGTTTTTGATCTAGAAACCTATATTCGTCGCAACTTCTCTAGACGTATATATATTTACTTTAGGAATATACAGATGCATTTCAGTGTCAGCTTTATCAAAGGAGGGTTTCTTGAGCAGAGGCCTGGTAGCAGCTGGATCGAAGAGAACTCTCTTTTCTCTTAGGTCATGAATGTCACGTAGACCTGGAATTTCCTTCTTTGCTGTTGTCATTAATTATGACTTATTGAGCATCCTAGACATCTTCGTCAAAGTAGTGCTAAGTTAGTCCATGATATATCCTCTTGTACTTTAATTTTTATATGGCTCTGAAATTTTTAGCTGAAAGGCCACTTAGAAGTACGCAAAATTTGGAATTGTGCTAAGAAAACATGAATGGTAGTCAAATGCTGGGAGAAAGCTTAAGGCATTCCATAGGAGGAAACTGAAGGAAAGACACTAATATAGATAACCACAGGTCAGTGATTCTCCGAGTGACAGGTGATTGTGTCTTGTATCAGTGAATTAGACCGGGGTGAAGTTTAACAGACTTCCGTGCAGTGTCAGTTGGCATGTGATTGAACCAGAACTACTGTCTTCTCCGTTTGAAAAATTTTAGTCCATTTTCTCTGTGCCTTTGGGCCTTTCTAAATCTAACTGTTTTGTGGTTTGCATTCTATTCTGTCTCCTGTTATACTTCCTATTTTATAGTTAAATTGCTTAATATTTGTTTTTTTCTGCCGTTTTTAAAGATTTCGTTTTTCCTTTTTCTCCCCAAAGTCCCCCAGTACATAGTTGTATATTTTAGTTGTGGGTCCTTCTAGTTGTGCCATGTGGGATGCCGCCTCAGCATGGCTTGATGAGCGGTGCCATGTCCACGCCCAGGATCCAAACCAGCAAAACCCTGGGCTGCTGAAGCAGAGTGTGCGAACTTAACCACTCGGCCAAGGGACTGGCCCCTTTTCTGCCGTTTTGAAAAATTTGGACTCAGATGGACATTTGCTTAATCTTAATCCTTGATTCCTGCACAGGCTCATCTTGGTGCATGCATAACCTGCATTTATTCATTTAGAGAGTTATTTAATTATTTTTAATAATGTAATAAGCCTTAACACGCTCACTGCCCAAAAGGCTAGGACTTTGATAATAATCAACACTTAACCCTTTGCTCCCTCTTGTTTTATTTTTATAGAATGCAAATAATACACAATGAAATTCTCTCAAGCGATATGGTTATCATGTTTAAATACTGCAAGGAAATGTAACTAAGATATCAGATTTGTATGGGTAGTGAAGGAGAATGAAAAGCAGTTCAGTGATCTTAGATACTGACTTCTGTCTGAAGTGACTACAGTAACTTTTTGAGTTTCTCTTCTGGATCATTTGAAGCAAAAGAAGAATCTTATTTCATTTGAAATTTTATGCAATATAAATTATAAACATTTTAAAAGGAAAATAGCATAACCCTTGAACACTTCTCTTTTCAGCTAATGCTGTGGGTTCTCTAAGGAGCAGAAATATTGCTGATTCATAAGATAAGCATATGGTTCGTAAGGATGCGATAAGTGGTAGACAGTACAATAAGATGCTTATCAAAGCCTTTTCCCCCTGTTCAGGTAAAGGGATATAAAATGCAGTTCTGTGGTGACCATTTTTTAATGTAGCCACACAAGTCAACTTAATAAATCACTTGTAGTCTGAGATCTTTCTTTGCATGGGTACAGCATGTTAGAAAGTTCCTAGTATTCTGATTAGTGGTGCAAAGTGTGGTACAGACGTGAACAACTTTGTTAATAACACCTGTTGGCTAAGTTCTTTATTTTCCTTTTATTTGCTTAAGAGCCACAGACAGGACCAGACTTTGGTCATAAAATACTCTTAGCAAAGTACTAATTTTCTAAAGTCATGGGACTACCTTCTTATCACTTGTTCAACTTGGTTCATGTCAAAGAAGCACTAGAATGTCTTCTCCGTGTACCACTAAGTACTCTGGTGAGCGTGCGAGCATGGCAGGCCTGAAGCGGCAGCAGGCTGTAGTGGAAGGAACACGGGCTTCATGGAGCCGTTTGGACGTGACTCAGCAGGTTATCGAGTTTATAGTCTTAGCAAGTTACTTTGCCTTTCTGAACTTTATGTTCTTCATCTGTAAAATAGGTATAAGAATCCTACCACATGGGCGATAGTGAGGATTAACTGAGAGATTTTGTAGGACATGTGTATAAAGTAGGACAGTGCTTAACATGTAAGACACAACAGTGAACGTTAGATCTCTTCCCGTTTTGCCTTCCTCACTCTTAAGGAACTTACTTTTCAATTGAAATACAGTATACATTTATGAGGTATCTCTACTATAAGAATAAATTTAAAACTGTTAATCTTATGCTTAGCAGCTAAGGGAATGCAAACCTAATATCTGGGCTGGGGTAGATGCTTGACTGAGGAGCTGTTTGATTATCAGCAGTGTGAACATGGTAGAGGAGGAGGTGATATAGAAGGAATTCTTGCCCGTCGTATGTGATTACATGCTTAGAAATGAGACCTCTTTGAAAATATTTTATAAATGCACGTTTTGCTTAGACAGTTACAGTTCTGAAGGCTGGTACCCAGTGTGTTTTATCCAAAAACATTCTCTCCCCAGCTTGCCGTACATATTTTCAGATTCACACCAATAGCATATTTTTTGCTCCCTGTTTTGTTGTGCTGAAGAATGCCTGAAAATAGTATACTACACTAAAGTCCTTGTTTGGTTCTCAGAGGGAAGCCACTAGATCACTGGTCTGTGAGGGTCTTCTAAGTGGTCCATTGATTGGTCCAAAATATTTGCATGAGAAAGAAAAGAGAAATAGAAACCATTTCCT